AAATGGAGAAAACCTTTTCTCATCGGCGGTACGAGGTGATTCAAGACATGCCCTTCATCACAGAATTCAAAAGTAGACGGCCAGCTCTTTTTATGGAAGAAGAGGTAAGTCTTGAATTTGCAGGTCATATATAAATTATCCATGAGGTTTTACCTTCTCTAAGGACCTCTGAAACATCCTTAAGATCATCTTTAATTGTAACAGACTTTTAAGCTGTGTATTAAAAATGATTCTGTACTTTGTTTTTGTCTTGTTGCATGTGCCTATAGGTATGTGCTGAGTTTACGCGCATCACCACCATCCCGCTTATCCCCAAGTTTATGTCGCAGCTGGACCACTATTATAACAATTTGGCCAGAGTGCTCCGTACGAAAGGAGGAGCTATAGGACACAAAATAAAAAACATTATGGCTGTCATTGACCAGGTTTGTGTATAATTACTTGCATACTAAAGTTGCTGCAGATAGTTTGCACAAATAATCTGCCACCCCATCATCCACCTTTACAGTGACACATTTCACATAAGACTGTACAGCTGTGGCGTTTCACATGTATCCCTGCTCCTGTTATGGCAAGTGCACTTGCAGCTAATTGTGATTTTATGAACGTATGAGTGACCTCTGCATAAAGGTGAACAGTTTATACAGTATGTGTCAGGGATAACTTTTTGGATTTTTCTTTCCATGTTTTGAATGTCAATCACTTGTTTATACAGTGTATTTCAGTTGAATTCAGTTCATTTATATTATGTAAAGTCACAAACAAAAGTCATTTCATGGCACTGTACAAAAACATTCACATATATTAAGGTAAATGGACTGTACTTATATAGCACCTTTCTATCTGATCAAGACACTCAAAGTACTTTACACTACAATCTGTGCCTTCATTTACCCATTCATACAGCACTCTACTAGATCTGTACAAAGTTAATTGAACAAATCATTCTAAAGAGAATAATCAGAGCTTTATCACATTCATACACTGATGGGACACACATCAGAGGCAATGAGGGGTTCAGTGTCTTGCCCAGGGACACTTCGGCATGTGACTGCTGGTGGATTCGAACCCCCAACTTCTTGCATTGGAGGACAAATGCTCTAACCACTCAGCCACAGCTGCCTTCATTATGTTATATAATAATATTATTATAGATGCTAATTAGTAAAAGTTTATCAAGGGGCTTCCCTTCACTTCAGATTGCATTGAATCTTGACTTCGTTGCAGTCTCCCATCTTCAGCAAGCATTTCCTGCTGTGTTTTGCAGAATGACTCCATTGAAACAAAGATCTTGCAGCCTCCAAGCACTAGCAGTGTATCTCAATGAAGACCCTGAAAAGCTAGTGAAGGAGTACAGAGTAAGTGTCATCAATTGTTTTAAAGGGGATATTTTCACTTGAAGTTGAACATAATGCTGAACTAATAATATTTAATTTTTTACTAATAAGTTTTTTTATTTGTTTATGTAACTTGCTTGCATGCATCAGGATGTTAACTTGCTTAGTTTTCTACTGCAGTCAATTTACAAAGAAGAAAATATGTATGGTAAAGTTTCATGCAAATAATTTTTTTTCAGTGAGGAGAGGTATTCATAAAACATCTGGTTTATCTTTTGTCTGTTATTAGAGTGAGACCCCTGATGAAACCCAGGCAGCTTTGGATCGGACGGTCATCGGCATTTATGTCATCAAACACCCAGGTGCAGACGTTGATCAGCCGCCAGAAGATGTGGGCATCATAGTGGAAGGTGTGGAGGTGATTAATGAACTCAAAGATGTTGCCATTGCTTGTGCCTTGCTGTTTGGGATCATCTATGACCTGAACCTGAGCTATCCAACGGACCTCAAATATACGTTTGAGTTCATTCAAAAGATCCTAATGGAACTTGAAACACACAGGCTTTCAAACAAAATCCAACTACTGAAAAACAAACTGCTGGAATAATGCATATTCCTATACCTATAACAGTGTTGTGATGTGGGGACTATTCATCATTCTGAAATGTTTTGATCCTGTTTACTGTGAGCAGATGTTTGAGCTGTCTTGTTTTTTTTTTTTTTTTTTTTTTTTATAAAAGAAAAAAGTTTTTTATTGTTACTATTTTTACCTGCAAGTTTACGGTTTTAAAAATAGATCTTTAAAGCAGTAGTGGCATGGTGTTTTAGTGTTAAAGCATGGTGTTTTGATGGTAATTTACATTCTGCTGTTATTTGGACTAAAGCTTGTGTCCAAGAGGCATAGCCCTTGGCAGGATTGGAGCCAAGTGTCATGAAAAGTTTTTTTTTTTTTTTACATTAAAAAAATGTTGCACTTAACTTTACCAGTATGTTTAATTTGATGTTTAATGTTTAAAAGATTTTTATGATTTTGAGTATTTTTGTAAAACTCACTGATTTTATTAGTAGTTCTTAATAAAGTGCTGTTTTGAAAAGTTGTGATTTTCCCCGCCCCTCAGTTTACAGTTCATTTACAATTTTCATCATGATTTCAATTTGACAAACTTAAATAAATTAGAAATAACTACTAAATCAAGTTAATCTTACCCAGCAATCTTGTATTGCTTTAATGTGAATCCATTTAG